GAAAAAAATATTGAATGATTTGAGATAAAAATCTTCAGCACGAATAACCGGAGCGATCTGGAATACGCTAACACATGGAGAAGAAAGATCAACAAAGAGTTGCTTACAGAAACTGGTTAATCAATATCTCATGATATGAAGGCAAGGTGGTTAAGATAGGCGCGCTCCATAGCGCGGAGCAATCCATCTGGAAGCCCCTATACGACAATGAATGCCTCAATAGTAGACCACGTGAAAGCCCAAAAGGCAGATGGATAGACCGAATCAACAAAGATGCAAGCAATTCGTTGAACAGTTCCTGCAGATAAATGGAAGATATTTTAAATAGGCAGAAATGGAGTAGCCTTATTAAGACGGCAAAAGATCTACAATGTCTGCAATACCTACAAAAAAAAAAAAAACCCTACAACAAATGGAATAAAAATATATAATAATAACTTAAATAGAGAAATTAAATTTAAAAAAAAATGTAACTTCGTATATATTTTAAATATATATTCTTTCATAAAAAAAAATAAAAATCTAATATTTTTTTTGCGCTATTCATATATTCTTATTTACTTAGTTAAACAATTCATGGTGTTCACAATATATTTACACATTACAGTAAAAACCATGTTATTATTTGCATTTTACAAATAAATTATGATTTCCTTAATATTTTGGTGCATTCTCAATACAGTTAAAATAAATTATTTATAAATTACAAATTAAATGTTAAAAGATGTAGTTTAAATCTTTTAAGTTTTAATCTTTTTTTTTTATATTTTAAAGTTTTTTTTGTTTTTTTTTAAGAGAATTTTGAGACCTTAAAACATGTGAAGAAGCAAATAAGAGGCTACTAATTTTTTTAAATGTATAAAATGAATCCAAATGTGAGAAATGTATCAAGAGGTGACCTTAACCGAGGAGAAAAATGAAATTATATCATGACAAAATATTTAGCAATCTTATTTCAATTTATTTAATTTAATACAGTTCTTTTTCTAGTCTTGCATAGTTTCTGATATTAGGCACTTTTTTTTTCTTTTTTTTCATGACCGAATGTTGAAAAGGGAAAATATAAAAAAAAAAAAAAGTGACGATAAGTAATAATTTTGGTCATTTAATATTTTAATAGAGCTTAAAATTTTTTTCCTAATTCAGTTCTTAATCTCTTAAGAGAACTCTAATGTGTTTAGAATTCGGATATTAAACGGTTCCTATGCCCTTAGCTATTTGTTGCCTATTTTTTATTTACTGGTATTAATAAAAGCTGGTATTATTTATTATCATTTATGTTTTTAAAGTTTTTTCTATTTATTTATCGGTTTAATTCGTGATTCGATAAGGGTTCTTGTAATATTGCACGCGCTGTTTGCGGGATCAATGCATCGAGGGTGAAAAAAAGTAGATAGAACAAGTTCGAATTGAGAAGTGATGATCTTGACAGTAAATGTTTAAACATGATGTCCTTGTAACTAAAATGGTAACAGTCTGCTACGTACGGCGGCAATGAACTTTTAATTAACGCAAATTCGTCTTCTACCTTTGAGGACAATTGTATAATAAAAATACCTTGAAATTAATGGCTAATATTATAAAAATAGCTAATGGGAAAAGATAAACAATGTCTTTAGAGCGAGAAAAAAACTCATATATTCGTCCATTTCCTTTCTATAATCAGTAAAAAAATAATAAATAAAAGAAAAAAATTATAGTGGAATTTCTTCCTTAATTTTAGAATAATATTTTTTTAGAATGTTTATCAAACTTATTTTTAGTGTTTTTTTCTTTCGTGGTGTGTTATTGAATTTCATATATCAGTTATCTCTACGTCTTCGCCATCAGCCCGTTTTATCAGTATTTAACCTTGAATTAAGTTGCGTGTGTGATAATAGTCGAAAGTCTAAGATTATGACACCGTTGATGTTTTCCTTTAAAATTTTTATTAAAATGAAAATATGTTAAAAGCAGCGATTTTTATGTCGTAAAAATCTTGTTACATTAATATAGGTAGTTCCATTGGTTCTATATCCCTGAGTTTAAAAGTGCCAAAATGCACAGTTTTTTAAATAAATTATAATTCTTACCGAATGCTTCTTAGAAGTTAGTTTGACATGGTACACTTACCACGTTTTATTTAATAATATTATCTATTGATTGGTGAGTATGCTGCGTTATTTAGCGACTCAACACGGTTTAGCAGACGTGCAATGTATTTCTGTGATCTCTTGGAGAATAATGTAGACTTGTGAATATTCTGAATAAATACAAAAAAAATATCCTGATCTCGCTACTGCATTTGAGCAATAGATTTCTATACTCTTAGTAAGTGAATAGACTACAAATTAAGCGAGACTTATGTACCAACAGAGGTGCCCATCCCCCCAAGTTCGATGGCGCATGATTCTCCCCTTTCTTCTAAGATATTTTATTTCTCTTCTCTTCTTAAAAAACAGTGCAAGCTAAAGTAAAATTATAAAAATCATAGGTCATATACAATTACACTTTTAGTGGCCTGTAGTATGCTTTTGTCTTGTCCCTTGGTTTGAAATTTTTCAATTCGAAAATTCATAACCCCGACGAAATGTGTCTCTCAAAATTCAAAACCATGTGGCATTCCTGTGTACCTAACAAATAAGTCTTCATCGAGTACAATGATGGATTAGATTTTTTAAGTTCAGGGTAAGCTGTCTCTTATCGACTAACAATTAAATTGGAGGGATATTTTCCATTGGCACAATGTAATCACTTATTAATTAAATTGTTACTTTAACAGTCGTGGTAAATAACGAGGCTTCACTAATTGTATCTGTGTTGAATTGTTTACCTTGATAATATTACAGTGTAGATACAAATAAAAAGGTCTCCCTGATGTTGCTACCTGTTGTGTATAAATTGAATGCACTTGGTAGAAGAATAACTATACTTAGAGAGCTCTCATCGGGATATATAGTTTACCTATAATCTATTATTTTAATTTACTTATCGTTATTTTATAATGATTGTTTGATTAAAAATCCAATTCAATTGCCATTAACTTATAAATTAATTTTTTCTTCCAAACTTAATTGGTTATAATGATTTAATAGTTCTTATCTTATTGAAATAACTGCTCTCGAACCTATGTATACCCAACTCTCTTAATTATTTTTGCTTGGATATTTGAGTGATCCTTTTATTGAAAATACTGTCATTATTTTATAAGTATCTTTGTTTTATTTTTTAAATTATTTGAATACCAAATGAACATTATTAGGAGTGGGGCACATCAGCCATTCATCCCTGAGAACATCTCATGAAGTTGAACCATCAGCATGTTGCAGAACATCCAGATGACTTATGCTCTGAGCATTCCGGTCACACGCCCATTTCATTGTTCTCAGGGGAAGTTGTAGACAGTTCGCGGAACCCCGACTGGACAAATAGCCAGGGTACAGATGTGAATCTTGCAATGCCTAACGCATTTATAGACGATACTTTGCATCTGTTTTGTGACAATTAGAGAGAAATACTCTCTCTGAGCTATCTTATTAAATATTTACGCGACAGAGAGTACAGTAGTGTCAATGCCACATGGACAGTTGACTATTATGGAATCTAATTGGAGAAAGTTCCATATCAATTGCCAGTCTTGTATGAGAACCTACCGCTAGAAGAAGCAGTTTAGAAGACCGGAGCTGGTACCATCATTATCGGAGCCGAAATTACGCCTCGGTAATTTGGACGAATCTCGAGAAGTGCGTTCCAGAGAGAAGAGGCCTCGAGTATCGAACAATGGGCCTAATGACTGGAGGCCTTCCTCTCTATGGCATACATTAGTTCTTCTTCTTAACGCAGTATCCTTTTCTCAATTGGGCCCGTGTCGAAAAACATTCCAAGATTGTTTGGATACTTACGGTTGAAAACAGTAATTATTCCAAGACCTTGTAGGATAAATACTTTTTCTTTGGCATTTCATATGGCAAGGATTATAATTTACCGCGTTTCTGAATAGGCACAACCTATAAACACATTTTTGGAGTTCAAATGGGATAATGTCATCGACTATTTGTTTATTTTTAATTCTCTCTGGTGTCTTAACCAATAGAAATGCAATATGTCTTTCTGAAACAAATAAATAAAAAAGATAATAGCATTTCTTGCGTAAATTCTTCTTCTTCTTAATCTTCCTCTTTTGTACCATTCAGCGTGGAGTTGCCTTAGGCCATGTTAGCCAGGCATCGAATTCCCTAGTGAGAAGACCCTTTTCCTGTCTTCTATTCCATCCCGGAAATATGGTTATCCATGTCATCTTTGGTCTTCCTCGAGGATGTCTTCCAATGGCCTGGCTTCGCAGAACATCCTCGGCTCTCGGTCTTCATACATTCGACACAAATGCCCGAACCACTTCAGCTGTCTCTTTTCAATTCTATGTTTCACATCTGAAACTCCAAGGTACTGTTGAATTTTTTCCAATTCAACCCGATCTCTTCTTTTTCGCGGACCATTCTTCATCTTTTCATGAGTTACTTCATCTCTGCAGCTTGAACTTTACTCCGGTACCTGCCTAGTGGGACCCAGCTTTCCGTTCCACACAGTAGGGTAGGGATATAAACTGCCTTAAAAATATGTAATTTTACATTATTCTCCACCTCCCTTTTCCCAACTATTGTATTCCATAGGTGGTAGTAGACGTTATTTGCTTTCTTAATTTAGTTAGGGAGCTTTTGATCCATTTTTGCATATCTGCTGATCACTGTCACTGTCCCAAGGTATGTGTATTCCTCATGAGCATTGTCTTTGAAAAATAATTTATTTATATTACAATCTCTCACATCTAAGAACAATAGTAATAGTGATAAAAATAAATAAACAGCAAAACAATAGTACTAAAAGTAAATTTATATAAACAAAAAGAAACTAAATTTTATTATAATTTTTTTTTCTCTTCTGAATCTGTATAATTATTTTTTAATTTAATAAACGTCTATTTTACTAAACCAGTTTTATATATTAATCCTGGTTGACATTATATTTTAGATATATCCATAGATTTTGACTTCGCTTGACCGACTCCTTTTGTCTGTTTCAGCTTGGATGGAACCTCTGTCACCAGCTCCTTCAGACGCCTGTTCCTGGAGGTCTGGTACACCTTCTCCGCCTCTCTCCGAGTCGGCGCCTTCAGCATGGCTGTCCGCTTCCGACGAAGGAATTGAACTGGACGACGACTTTGACGAATTCCCCAAAAAGAAGAAAGTGGTGAGTACATGTATTTACTGTCAAAAAATATTTCAACGCAATAGAGGACTCATTTGTAGATAATTGGCAATGAGACATCTTATGTCAGTCGATAATTGAAACTTTCCCATCAGGCTTTCTACGGAATAGAGTGGATTGCGTGATCCAAACTCTTGAAGAAAAGTGAGTAACTCTGAGGATTAAAATATTAATGGCGGTTTCTTTACAACAAGTAAATAATTCTACTGGCTTTATTCATATGAAAAATAATTTCCGTTATCAATGTGATGAACTCTTTATTGTCGATTGGAATTGTTCAGTAATGAATATACTTCGTATTCGCTTTCTGAAGTTAAATCAGTCTAAAACTAAGTATATACTAAAACCTATTTAAAATCAAACAGACATTCGACACGCAGATATAAGTTTCACAAAAAACAATATCACTTACAACATTTTTTTATCTTTTTTTTTTTATTCCCGCTACCTGGCCATTTCTGGCAGTAGTGGGGTAGTGCGCATGGGTTTTGCGCATGCCATTGCCACCGATCATATTCTTTTTATTTGTTATTATTCTTTAAACACTTACATCAGCTGTTGAAAAACAGATACTTACTAATAGACCTCTAAGTGACATGGTCACGGCTGACAAGCAGGAGGCAACTGAAATGAAGCTGGCTAAGAGATCTCCTTTTCTGATTTATGGAAGCAAATATAGACCAGGAAGAGGTGCTGCTGGATACTATCCTTCCTCATACCTAGAATACCATTACCGAATTCAGCAATATACCTGCAATATGACAGCTGAGGATGAAGCTTTAAAGAGAAAACAAATCTATGAATTAAATTATATGCATTGTCGTTTGAAAACATAATTGACATTAACGACAAAACATAGTAATATTCAAATATAATTAAATTTTGTTAATATTGATGTTAGTTAAGATTAAATAATTAAAATTAATACTAAATGAATTAATTGATTTTTTTTTTGATAACAGCTTAAATACAAAAATTAATACTATATTTATTTATTTAACATACCATGTCGGTAATGCAATACGTGCTTTGCAGTAGTGGGTTGCAACGCATGCCTTACAACTCACTGATGCATTCAGACCAATTATATATATTTTTTGTTTTAAAAAGTAATACCATACATAGACGAGTTATATGGTTTTTATAGCTAAGCTGTATTTAACGCCAATTTCTGGCCGAAAACGTCTGTGGGAAAGTACAATTCCATAGTTTCAATTCAATATCACTTTTAATTTTTTTTTTTTATATACTCCTCTATTGCTTTGAAGTTATAATTAGTATAAAACTGCATGTTTTTTTTATTAATTTCAAAGCAATTTTCTTGAACATCTTTTTATATTTTTATTGAATTACCCGAAGGTTAAATATAAGCATTCAGATACGGAAATGTTGTTAGAAAACAAAAAAATTAAAAAAAAACATCTATTGAAAAAAATATTACCATATAGTTTCTCATACTTTCCTAACTACCAGCGACTACCTTTTCACTTCCTGACTATTATGTTTTTTTATAATTAATATTAATATAAAGTACGTTAAAAATGTTTCGAATAAACCAAGTGATTATTATATTATCAAAGATATATTTTTGAAATATTTTTTAACGAGAATATTTTTATCGTTAAAAAAAGTTAAATAATTATTTTTGTTCTGTAACTTTTTATTATACTTATTCCTTATTAAATGTGCAAATATATTAAACGTTAAATAAGAATTATTTCTAAAAAACGTACTTCATGATAAAAATATATAGCAAATTATACCATCTCAAGATAATTGACAGAAACTTGAAAACATCTATAATTAATATTATTGATTATATATCATTACATTTAAATTGTTTTTAAACTACCTATAAATTATCTATATCTTTAATAAAATATTACTTATTACGTACTTTGTTTGTCATTGGTTTTTTTTTAAAGAAGGTAAAAATTGTGAAGATAAGATTAGGGCAAATCAAGAATGGTTGGTCTACAATTTTATGCAATTTTGATATGTTATATTTTTTTTTTTCCTTGGCCGAAATTCAGTGACTAGCGTTTTCAATATGTAGTTTTGTTTAACTATTATTAATTATTGTTACCGCCTAAATCGGGTTACTCACCCATTATATATTTAGCAATTGGCAAACTGAAAGGCACGTGTACGTCCGATAATGTGTGGAAGGATTTACAAACATGTTTTGACTTTTTTTTTCGACAGCGCTATGGTTTATTGACGGGTTGTTGATTCTTTGATAATATAATGTTTATTCCTGTCTCAGTGTTTTCTTTTTTATTTACTGCACGGATCTGTTAAGAAATTTTGTGATATTCTTACATTTTTTTTATTTAATTTTTTTATATTTATCTAAATTCACAAGCAGATAACGTAACCCAAATATTTCAAATGTTTATTAAATTTAATTTTCCCTACTACAACGTTAAGATTTTGATATTTCTGTTTATTATATATTAAATCCACGAGTTTTCATCGGAATCAATATATATATACATTTTTTTTCTTTTAAACTGATAATTGAGTTGATAGATAAAATATGCGAGTTATGCAACATCGTACTTTTTTGTCAAATTCCTAATTCTGTAGGACATTTTTGTGAATTACGTCCTTGTTGAAATAGGTACAAAGAAAAAAATCAATAAATTGTACTCCTGAGAAAAATTTTAAAATGCTCAAATATATTTTTTTATTACTTATAAAATATAGATTGCTTGAATATATATGATATTTCAATAATATTTATTGAATATATAATAAGACAGATTTTCGCAGTATATTTTATTTGATTAATTCTATATTATATAAAATATAATTAATTTAATAATAAACTGTCATAAACAGTAATTTATTTCAACAAAGCCGTACATTAACCTCTTTTATGTATTAGTGAAAGTCATAATTAATTATACACAGGTTATTACAACGCTGTAATAAACTTTATGTCTAATTAAGGTTATGCCCTCTTCGTATATTATCGTTATATGGTCTTTAATATATATATATATATCTTCTATGCATGCGATTTCCCATAATTTCTTTTACCTCATTACCTCGCATTTGTTTTGTTTGTTTTTCCATAAAAATCTTCCTGAAGTGTTTTCAACATGGTCACCTACTTACCCGGCCGTTGAACCTTTTATCAATGACAAACAGAGTGCATTTGCCTACATCCCACAATCCTTTGGAATCCTACGGAGATAATGCCGTTTGAATAAATCTTAAATATGTACAAAAGAAGCTAATTAAATAAGATAATTAAGTGAGCCTAATTTAATTTTTTTTTAATTCTATCTCCAGCATGCGAGTGAATCTTGCAAGAGTCTCTCAGCTAACTATTAGCTTATTGCTATTAAACATGTTACTGAAGATCTCTACATATAGAAAAACACTACAGAATAGGTACATTCTACAGTTTATTGACATAAACATAGTAAAGCCCAACCAAATTAACTCTAATTTGTGAAGAAAGATTGGTAGCTATCCACTATAGAATTGTACATTAAAGACAATCAATACAATATCACCAATTATTTAAATATAAAATGTGGTGTGTCCACTCCAATGAATTACCTATCGATTTTAATTTTTTTTTTTCATTTTTAAATGTGTTCATTAAATCACAATTGAACCAGACTAATTTTCCTCATAACCTATCAGAGTATACAATTAGGGTACGATTTATTTTTGAACTTCAGCAATAACTTTTACAGATACCCTACTTTTAGAATACTTTTTTCTTTATTAAGGCTTAAGTTAACATCAATTAAGTTTATGCTTATTCGTTTCCAAATAAGTTGAGATTCACGTCTAGTAGTTAAATAAATTTTGCGATTTGAAATTTTTTCAACACAGTATTCCTTTATTTTCATAAAAAAATAATTAAATAAATTAAAACTAAGATTTAATTTCCCCCCTCAAATCTAGGCTGCATTAAAATAATTTAACTACGAAAATACACTTTTTTTTTAATTATTGAAAAATACTATTTTTGTAAAAATGTGTCATATAAAGCGATAATTGACCAATGTTTTTTTTTCACAATTGTCTATTGATCTTTATCGTATTAATTGCCCAATCAAATGTTCCTGATTCTAATATTTGCGTTTCGGGTATGAATGATTCAAGCGATTGCAGAGAAATATTGAATTAACAATAATAGGCTATTGCTTTAAATTAGTATTGATGTCCATTACGCAGCACTGTGAGTTATCTTTAAATACCTTAAAATCTAAAGTATACTTAAAAAAAAAATATTAGTTTGATGGTTCTGTATATTATTTTTACGTGCTAGGTACGTTTTAAGCTATTTATAGAAAACTAGCAATACTCCGCAATCTTATCTATATAATGCAATATATAGTTGTCCGAGAGGAAAGAAATAATTTAACTTTTAGCCTAACTCGACTTCAATCTGCTTAAACGTTTGCCGTTGCACTATATTGACTGCTGTATTTTCCAAATTGGTTGACGTTTATGTTGTAAAGCCTAAACTCGACATCGATGAACTGTCTGTCCAACTCTAACAGCATTTTTCAAATTTGACTGACAGCTCCTTAAATTAACTCGTCTGACATTTTTTTTTTCATCACAGTTTGACAGATTATAATATTAGCATTTATTTATGTAATTTAAATATTTTAAGCAACTATCTTTCATCGAATTTTTCTCGTACACATTCATGTCTATTACCGTTCTTTTTTATTTTTTTTTAAACGGTATAACTGTTAATCTAGGCAAATAAATAAAAAATAACATGAGTACCTGATTAGAATGCTGTTTATTTATAAATTGTTTTTATGATGTTTTGTTTTATTTTTATTTAAATGTAATGTACGCAATAAGTTAATGGTTATTTATACTTATTAATAAGAATAGTGGAATAATAAAAACAATAATAAGACATATAAAAAACAATTGTCATCTTCCTTTAGCTCTGTTTAAAAGTTTTATGCTCTGAGATCTCTCATTTTCACTCGTAACTTTTGATAACCGAATAATTATCAGTTATGATAGTGATAAAATATCTCAAGATTGAACACGCCGTATGAGATCATCATTGAATCCTCTCGTTACTACGTTTCTTGTATTTTATTTTTATTTTTCTGAAGCTTCTTGACAAAGGTACAGGTTTAACAATGATGACTAAACAGGAACCGTAGAGAAAACATTTTTTTATCCCCCGTGGCCTAAGTTAAAACAGCAAAACAAATTAGGCAAGACGGAATGGAAGTGACGCCAGAGGCCTTAGTGGCTACTCCACGGGAAAGGTCATGGTTCCCTCCTTGTCTTGGAGGCCTTTCTGGAGTCGATCCTTTATTTGGTATTTAAAATGTACGAGCCCTGCCTAACAGGAGCGGAATACTAAAGGCAGAAATTAATCATGGCTTTATGCGACTTCACAGTTAGTCCTCTGCGAGGCTTGTATCCTCTGCATATGGAATGGGATCTTGTTAACTGCCTTCCATTCCTTATCCCTAAACCGAATTCCATTTCTCGTATATCATAGTTAAAAACCTAGGTATACTGACGTTTATTACTTAGGTTTAACAATAACATATAACAAAACATATATAAAGTCCATGCTATTTTTAAGAAATTTAATGAGTTAAATTATTATTTTATATTAATATAAGTTTCTTGGGCAACCATCCTCATCTTCAGAACCATACTTTTCTTGTTTATGTTTTTTTTGCAAAAGTTAATTATAACATATTCTTCATAATTTCTGCATTAAAATAGATATCTTTACTTCTAGCACACATAAAGACAATATTTAGACATATAATATATAATATAGACAATATTATAATATATCAATATTTACTTCCAATTAAACGTATTACTACTGATTATGTTAATGTTCGTTGTTAAATTTTATAAACATAATAATTTTATAAATACAATTTAATTAAAATAAGCTTTATTTATAAAGGAAAGAGATGGTCCGGGATGGCGGTCGTAAATAGGCTAAATAGTGACAAAACTATTTTATTAAAAGTCAACATTTCGACCCGACTTTGTAGGTCTTCTTCAGGGCTAGAACGGACAAGATACAAACAGATAGAGAATTGTGAAAGTCACATAATATTTAGACAAAATTATAAACAATGTAAATAAGCTTATAAAAATTATAAACAGTAAGTACATTAAAATATAAACAGAGTAAGCTAAGTAACAAGATCCTAAACGGAAGTAAATAGATGCTAACAATTGTTGTAGTGTAATATATAATATGTGGAAATGTGAATATACTTCCACAGATCTACAGGAATGATTGAAAGGAATGGAAAAAGGATTTAATATGAAATAATAGACATAAAGGAATGTGGAGAAAGAAAAGAAACAAGATTTATTTATGACCTATTTATGAAAGCCACCACGGACCATCTCCTGCCTTTATAATGCAACGGTTAACTATTAAATATTCAAGCTTTATTTATCTATTTTTAATTACTTTATATTACATGTGCATATGCGCTGTAACTAATGATGCACTTAGTTATGGAATTTTAATAACAATGGCAATGAAGGTGTTTTAATTATCTTTTGTATATACACTGACAAGAAATCAACTGTTTTGAAGATTGGGATGATTTCCCCGAAATGTTAGATATCATGGAAAATTAGTAAAAAATAATGATTGCAATCATTGAAGTACTTAAAACACCTTGAACCGTATATAGACTTATAAGGGTCCTATACATTTGATAATGATATCAAACTTGAAAATATAAACAAAATTATTTTTGTTTTTATTTGGAAAATAAATATCTATCGAAACTTAAATCCCAATATCACCTAGACCTCCCAACACGGTAATAGTTTAATCACAAAAGTTTAAATAAAAACAATCGAAAAAGAAAATAACAAACTTCAATTATTCATTGCGGCGAAATAATTTTAATTATTCTCTAAAATAAAGGTCTACTCACTCATGTTACTGCTGTAGAAAAGAAAATGTCCAAGATTCAGTATATTCCAAAGTTTTTTTTCTTTACTACTCGTGTTTTCTTTCACTTGCTAAAAAAAAAAAATCTTGTTTATCTTGCCAAAATCGTATTTTTCATTTCGTGAATTATAAATATATCGATGTATGAATAAATTAGGAGGCAACTAAACGGATAAAACAAAAATTAATATTAAAAATATTTTAGATTTAAGCTATTATAAACGAGTAAGTAAAACATTGAACAAGAGACATATGATATCTGTCAAGGAATAATTCAACGACACAGTCTTGTTTCTCTACAGCGCAAGTAAAGAACGAAATTACCTGTCAATGTTTCAATTCAGGGATCACATCATCCTATGACATCCAAACACACACTGATATTGAATATGTGTTTGGATGTTATTGAGTGATGTTATCTTGTTTTTTTGTTTTGTTTTTCTGTCCTGCTGATGTCTGAATTGGCGAAACGTTGACGAGTTATGTTGTTTTCCTGCATTTTAGATACACAAGATTGTGTAGTTTATAAATTCTAGATTTATATGTATATAACATTTATATGTTTGGATATGAGATATATTTTAAATTACATATTTATATTATGTATATTAGATCTTTTTTTTAAATTTCTATTCTAGTTCATCCTTGTAGATCTAACAAATGTAGCATGTAATAAAATTTTAATAATATAAATCCATTTTTTTTTTTATAACAATGTTATATACGTTTATAAAATATATACATGGGTGCCCATCCCTCCCAATATCAATGGCGCAAAAACCTTCCTCCTTCCTGTTCCCAAGATATTTTATTGCCCACCTTTTCTTAAAAACAGAACAAGCTTACGTAAATTTAGAAAAATAGCAGCTCATACACTTGAACTTGAAGCGATCTGTCTCCCATGTTTTCTCCTTTGTCGCTTGGTCTGAAACTTTTCATTTCGAAAAATCGCATATCCGTCCCCCCTAAAAAATTCAAAAACCGTTAAAATATACCCCCTCAAAAATATTTATGGCATAGCTTGCGCTATGAAACTATGAAAATATTCATAGTAATTTTTATTAATAATAGTTTTACTTCTCTCAGGAAAAATTTAATTAAGGCTTAGAAGTCAACATCAGATGATTTTCACTCATCGTGCTGTGTGTTTAAAAAAAATACGTTTTTGATTTATTTTTCATATATTACCTAATATAGGGATAGTCGTAAAACAATTATAAATAAGTTGGTTCAGGTTTTTTTTTTTTTGCGCCTTGTATGTTATGTTGTTTTTTTATTTATTTTAAATATGAAATATATATAAATATGAAATGTATATATATATATATATATATAATATATATTGAAAACTAGGCAGTGTAAGAACATGCTCTGTAAATAGGAACTTGCTATTGAGATCAGCTGATCCCGACGTAGCTGCCCTTGAGCTGAAGGAGTGGCCCTGAGGGTATTTAACAGGCCCCACCCGGGCATTTTAAATTTCGGCCTTGCCCCGGTTTCAAACTCCTCTTACCAATAATATCGGTAAATTTATTGTTATTGCGTACGCTCATGCGTAAACATGTGTCCAAAACGATAACAAACGTGTAATTTTCTCAATATCAGAGGTATCTAAGTTGTGTGAGAGAAAGGAAACTTCAAGTCTAGGCTCTTAGAAATACATTTTTAACCGCCAATATATAAAGTTACGCAATGTATTATTTTGTGACCAATTCACAACTGTTACTCCACCCTGATACATCTGCACAAGATCACATGGTCCCACTGTATATGGAATTGTCGAGTATTTACGACCATGTTTATGGGTGAAATTTCTTTCGAAAGAGATGAACTAACCTCCAATGAGTCGTTTTCAGTTGTGACCAGGGCCTTAAATAACTTTAATGGGGTCCAGACTTACGAATTTGGCTTGCTCAAAACTCGCATCTACAGTGTGATCATAAGATCTTGAGTCCATACATAGTGTTGGAATGACACTGGTGAATTATCACTTTCATTTAATCTACATTAATTATGTAATAAATAATCTTTCTATGGTTTTTAAAGATGTTTATTTTTTAAACTATTTTGTTTTAAATTTTTATGATTATGTCTATTTTTATGTAGCATTTGGTTTTTTTTATTAATTTATGTTTGGTTATAATTAAATCCTTTTTCTTATTTAAATTTATTATCTTGTTCCTCTGAATAAACATTTTTAACTTTCTTAAAGCATTAAATTAAGGCATGAATCAAAACATTTAGAAACGGTCATTATACTGAAAATATCAAAGATGAAAAATTATACAGAATTTAATTTCAGTTTTGGGTAAATGGCCTGATAAAAAATAAATGTTTTGCATCTGAGAGAATGGTCAGGACCACTTCATAAGCTTCGACGTGTTGTCAAGAGTTGAAAACTGTTTGTTGTGGACTTGTTGTTATTCAGGACTGCTTGTTGTTTATCATTTTTGTTGTGCTTTGTTTTGTCAATCTTCTGCAGCCACTAGGTCCTTCCGTGGATGATAAGCATTTATATAAGTCCTTCCAGCTCTGCTTATCTCTAATCAAACCTCTTCTGTGTCGAACGGTATTCGAAGAATCCATTACCGCCTTTCGAAGAGTCACGCCTGGAATATCGTGCCCATATCCTCTTTGATCCAGTTACACTTAGCCTACTTCCTGAGCACGTAGCATCCACCGTCACTCTCTCCGTCATGCCGACGCCGGGTTGGAGACTAAATACCGAAGGTGACCCCGGGATAATTGGCCATCTCCGATGAATGGAAGTCCGGGAGTCCGTTATGGGAGGGACCAAACAAAACGGGGTCGCCAAGGTGGGATGTCTTTGGCACCGTCTTTCTTCTCCTAACAAAAGGGCCATTTTAAGTGTACGACAGGTCCAAATCAATACAAAAAAAAAAAAAAAAAAAGGCAGTCATTACAAACAAAAAATCATTTCTTTTTTGTATTAAAAACCTTAAATCCGATTAGTTGAATACTGAAAACCAATGAAAGTAATAACTATTAGGCAATTCAAGGTAGGAAGTCTTAAATGCAAGGTCACATTCTTACATTTTTTGTTTGATAAAATACACGTGTTTGTTATATGAATTACTTTCTATCCTTCTGTTCAACGTTTGGCCTTATACGATAACATAACCTTTTGGTCCTGCATCAAAATACGTATATCTTTATTACAAAAGACGCATATTTAACGATACTATTCAATATAATGAAATTCGTGAAGTTTTTTCTTTGCTTTTACTTTTTCTTTGATGTTCCTGAATTTAAAGCTTAAAATCTTCTATCCTAGCTACATTAATAAGCAGTTGGTCCTTTTAAAATATTAACATGTAATCAGTTTTTGTTTTCAGCGTAAAATTCTGAAATCAAAAACCCTGGGGCAGAGAAACAGATATTAAAAAAGGTGGAAATTTTTATTTACGAAATCATCAAAGTTCTTCAAAATAATTTTGGATTTGACAAACTGAACTGATAATAAAGCTTTTTTTTTGTCTTTTATATTTTCAATTGCGTAAAATTAAGTATAAAGAAAGTTCCCTAAACTCGGTAAAAGGAATTCATCAATCGCTTGACTGTGATTTATTTTATGTTTAAGAACGAAATGTTGGATTCTAGCGGAATATTAACGCTCCCAACACACATCACAAAAGATCGCAAAACACATTAAAAATAAAAAATATATAGCGAAATATTTACCTACGGAATAGTTCAGTTTACAGCCGAAATAAGTATAGATTGTGAGTAAGCTGAATACAAATAACAACTTGAGGTTACAACGAGGTTGCATCCAACGAATCCATCAATGAGTTTAAGACTAGGTGGATATCCAATGCTGATCAATGAGCTAAGTTTAGAAACTTACATAAGAAATGGCACCATATTTATGATTCCAATAGTTAAATTTATTTTGAATATTTAATAGTTGACCGTTGCATTATAAAGAATGGAGATGGTTCGGGGTGGCGGTCATAAATAGGCTAAATAGTGGCAAAACTATTTTATTAAAAACCAACGTTTCGACCCGACTTTGCAGGTCTTCTTTAGGGAGTTTCACTTAGAACTCTAACTGACTCTAACTCTAACTTCACTTAGAACTGAGTCCTAAGTGAAACTCCTAGCTGAACACACCTCCCTGAAGAAGACATGCAATAGTTTTAATAAAATAGTTTGTAAGCTACTATTTAGCCTACTTATGACCGCCACCCCGGACCATATCCTTCCTAAATTTATTTTATGTTAATATCTTTTGAATAGCATTTGATTTAAGAAATAATTCTCGTCATTCTTCGCATCTTGTAGGAAGAATGGTTTTCATTTACACGATAATCTATTGATACTTTTTTCTACTTCCCGATCATACCTTTCTTGTATGACACTTAAGGCCAAGCGGATAACAAAGATCCACATTCTCATCGGGCCCCCATTTATAACCTCCCCCTATTGACCTCCCCTCCCCCCAACTCAGATAATGGTAGCCAATATTGTGCTTGGACGAGTTACGTAAGAGAGCTCACGACTTGAGGTTGTTATGCAACACGAGCGGCGAGCTGACCTTCTGCACGTCAGTTCCTCCTCGGAACTCTGTACTCAACTTCAGCCTGGGACCTCAGTCCTCTCTATGATTAAAGCCAAGGATTCGCCACCAGAGAGATTTTTTCCTCAATTCTTAAAACAATCAGATTCTTCTGCTACGTATTTGAATACCAGATTATTTATGTACTAGTAGGCCCGTGCGAAAAATTCGCACAGCATATTGTTTTCAAATGCCAAATTAATAAGAATATAAAATAATGCAAAAGATAAAGAAATCAATTGTTACTTTTTCGATAAAAATTATCGACAAAGGAAACAAAAATTAATTTAAATCTTCATTAACCTTTTGGAACCAACATGTTTACAAATTTCAATAAGCTGTATCATTGCTAACAATTGTCCGATTTCGATGATTTTTTTTTCCTTTTGTAGAGAATTAGTAATCTTTTGTATAACCATATACATAACCAAGGGAAAAGTGTGTAATTTTTTAGTTATTCGCAAATAAAGTTTGTTATCTTTTATAACTTGTTTGCCTGAATTTTCGGGGTGATGGAATATTTTGTCCGCCTGAAGGAGAAGGAACCCTTCGAAATTGGTGGCTCAATCTTGAGATTTGGTGAAGAATTAACGATGATATGGCCGATCAAAACACATATCGATAAATAATATAAACTCCTCCTCTCTCGATCATAGAGACCTCAAGTCGACGAAATGAGACATGTATTCAATGACAGTACTACAATTAACGTAAAGTTGTGTTGATGCGAACCCTACGCCTTGCGTTATCTCGAAAATAATACGTTTTGTAGCTTAAAAACGCAGGATCTGATAGTTCCGGGTCTTGCTGTACGCAACAAAATACCCATTCATGGTATTTGAGCTTATATTTGGTACGAAACCGATTTCGAGCCTTACTGTAATAATATCTGTGGGAATTTCAAATAATAAAATCCTGTATCCATAACTATCATAAAATCAGAGAGAATAATCAGTTCAAAAGATTTGCAATTTAACTATCAGTAGTTAACCACTTTTTTATTGTTTTATTCCTTACCCTTCAATATGAGAGAGTTGCAGAACATCTTTGATGTACGCAATCAATTATTGTTTATTGATAAATTCCTTATCCAGTGGATCTGCACAATATTATGCTCTGCTATAATACGTCTCCTGCTATGTACATCTTAGATATTTTACTATCTTAAAATAAAATTTAAAAATCTGTACCACTTAGAGTCTTGATTTCAGTGCATTGTAAAGAAGTACTTTTTCTTGGTCAACGGTTTTGGACGAAGGTGATTTAACCGAGATCACGCTCATATGTTAGTTTTTCCCTCTTAATTTATTATTTAATTAAGATTACCCATTTTATAGAGATGAACTCGGAGGTCTCCCAACCCCATGATCGATCCACGCCTTTTTTTTTCTATTGGTTTTAGAGACCTTCTTCATCTTTAATTGTCTCAACCAGCCTTCTCCATATCTGCCTATCTTGGAGTATTGCTTTCTAGTTATCTGCATATGGCTCTATCTTTGGATTTTTTTTAATATGATTTGTCCTATCTGGTTTCTGGTCCTCCATAATTTCAATCAATTGTAATCTGCCATACTGTCTGTTTTTTCACAGATGCTAGAATGAATAATAATTATTTTACCTAAATTACTAAAATATTTACCAAATTAAATGAAACTTAAGAATTATTTTAAGATAAATATTGTAAACAAGAAGTGGCAATCTTTATTTAATAATATTTATATTTTATCCATTTACATTTAGATAATTTAATATTGAATTAAAATATAATTTACTCAACATAAATTATAAAAAATACATTAGTAATACTTGAGACTTGAAAAATATCCGATATCTAAAAATTTTTATTTTCATGAAGTCTCGTCTCTCTGGTTTCGATTGATTCTAGATTGGATCTAATAAACTTAATTATCTCATAAAATATTATCAATAATTGACTGTAATATATAGAGTACAAGTAATAATATTGTAATCTGAATGTTGTTAATTATTAATTTTATTTTATGAGATAATTAATTTCAATTTTTTAACCGCCGAAACGTCATAAAAAATTTTTTTCTACACTCTAGAATTTTTAATAAATTACGTTCGTTCAACTTAAGCTTAAATAAACAACTACAAAAATACAATTACAATTCTTATCTGTAATTTTTATTTTAAATTGGTAATTTGAATGCCAAATAGGTGGATATCTCAACGTAAGTATGTAATATTTTAAGCTCAAAACAAATATTTTTCAAGGCGATGGATTTAATTTTGGCTATCCATTGATGACTACACCAGGAACCAGCGAACAATATGCTAATTCATGCAGCAATAGCCAAGGCCTTGCGAAGTCTACACCCTGGCACAATTGCTATTGCTGTAAACAAACCTTGAGTTTATCTGAGGAAGGCATCCGCAGACTTTTAAACAGTCAAAGGCTTCCAATTGCTAAAAACAAAACTGTAATTTTCATTTAAAATTATATAATTTTTGCAGGGAAGTTCTTGTTTTTAAACTAAATATGTACTTATTTTTATAATAATTTTTAGTATTTTATGTCATTCTCCTGTCTACGTCACGGTTTATTCTTCGGGCGTCTCTAAATAGGTAGAGTTTTAATGAACTGATTATTGGTTCATTTTGCACTTAGACTGTTCTGATTATAATTTTTTTATGGTTTAAAAAATTATAGATTTTTTATTTGTTAAAAAATAAAAAATTCGACAAGTTATTTATTTAATTGTCGGGATCACTCCCTAACCATGTCCGCAAATAGCCAAAAGGGAGACCAACACACGAGTTATTTCCAACCTGGCCTCATGCCTCGATATTAGAAACATTTTGCGGATTTTAAAAACAAACATTACTTAACTAAATCAATTAAGAATAATCATTATTTTTTGTATTTCAGTTTAAATATTTTTTGTCTACATTATTATAACACTGTGTTCGTGTATTTTTATCGTTCCACCACATAACGTGAATTAAACTAACATATTGTTGAGTTACATTTACGAACAAATTGAGCAAAAAATAAAACAAAATAAACAATGAATAACTTATAAATATATATTTATTTATTAAATTATAGCACAATCTATTGCTTTTAGAGGTCAATAAGTATTAAGGCTATAAGTCTCCATTTATAAAGTATATATAAATAATAGAAACATAACTATACAACAGTAAATTAATCGCAACTATCTCAATTCGAAATATATGTTTAAAACTTCAATCAGTTATCTTTATACTTTATTTCTCTAAGGATTTTTTTTTTTTTTGTCGTAACGCTATGTTTCGTT